GCCCTCTAGATGAAGTCTCTAGGCCCGCCATGTTCGGAATTGCGGGGGGTTCGTCTCTCCTCCGGACTGACTTTGGGGTGATGCCGTCATAGACAAACAGCAGAGTTTCGTCATTGTTCTCCATGAAAGTTGATTGGATGAGCTTGGAAGACAAGGTTTTGTCTATCAAAGATTCCCATAGACGGTGCCAATTGTACAGGAAGGAAATATCCATCGCTCTCTGTACTCCTCGTGTCCAAGCACTGCGTAACGTTGTTTAACCTGCGAATAGAAAGACGGTGAGTTACCCGACGGTGTGCTACCGAAAAATCCTCCGATGATCAAGTTAGCAAAGACAGAGAGAGAGAGAGAGAGAGAGAGAGAGACAAAAGAGTAAGTAGCTCAGAAAATCAGATGTTCCAGACCTGTGCATGGATACGCAGCACTGTTTATATAGTTTCTACGCGCTCCTCTTTGTCTGCTCTCCTTCTGACGGGTGGATATGTCCCCCAATAGGGTTCTTTCACGTGTAGGCGCAAATACCGCCAAACTTCAAATGACCAGACGCCAAACGGTATTGACGCATATGGACAGCGAAATCTTCTTTCCGCTCTCCCATCGCACCACATAATATTGGCTGTCAACTTGTGTTCAGCGCGGCGCCACATCTTCACTGTAATATCGCATTACTAGTCTGGCCTCCTCGATCAATTTTGGAAGTGGGCTTAGTCGAGCTACCCAATCTCGATCGAGCTTTTGCTCGGTAGACCTAGTATGAGGATAAAGTCCATCCGACTCAGTAGAGCGCATATCGTCACCAGGATAGTAGCTTGAAGTTGTCTCAACCTTACCGGACTAGTCCCTCGATCCAGCGCGTAACCAACGTCCAACAAAGCAAGGACTGGGGCTCTCGCCAAGATTGCTCGGCCTGTTATTAGGCCATAAATTTCCCTCTCACCTATATATATCCAAATAGTAAAATATTTGTAAAAAAGTATTTTAAAAAATTAATAAATACACAAAAATATGAAACATGTACTGAATTTTCATATATATATATTTTTTGTATTTTTGGTATTTATTGTATTTTTTACAGATTTTTTTATAAATATTATACTTTTTAAGTGTATTTATGTTAGATGTATCTAAAAATAAAAATAAAATTACTTAAAATATTAAAAAAAATTATTGAAAACATTAAAATATGAAAAATAAAAAAATAGAATTTTCTTAAAACTGTTTTATGAAAAACAGAACCAAATAAGCTGATTGTTTCTCTCTTTTTTATTGATTAATGACAATAAATAAATAAAAAAGTATAAGATTGTTTCGAAATGTGATATCACATTTTTTACTTAGGCCATGTTTGAGAACAGGCTATTTTAGTAATTTTTTAACTTTTTGACTCAAATATGAGGTAATGTTTGGAATGACTTTTTTATTTTTTACGAAAAGACGTGCAAAACGGAGAAAGAAAATTTAATATTTGACTTTTTGTATGAGTTATAAGCTTTTTAATTTTTTAGTAACTTTTTGATTTTTTAACTAAAACACTCACATGCCAAACGAGGCCATATACGTTTGATAAATGAGAATCACAAAATATATTAGGTATTTTTATCCATGTTTTTCAATCTATTTAATAAAAATAAGTTAATATTATTGTATTCATAAATTTTTTTGTTACGTTATTAACTACATTACGTAAATAATATCAAATATTAGATCTAAACTTGTTTATATATACATTCTTTTATGCCCATCCTATAAAATTTTAAAAATATATAATTTAATGGATAAATATGTATTATGAGTTTGATTTCTCTCAAATTGGTTATCTTAATTTGAGATAGTGTTTAGATTTCATATGCCCATTTTTTTTATTGATTTTGATAACCCGAACTGTTTACTTTTTAAGACTCAGTGGGTAGAATATTCATGTAAAAAATCAAAATGATCAGATATTAATATCTATATATTTGAATCAAATTTACATTATAAAAAGTGCATGGCTATTTTTTTAAATTATATTTGTTATTCATTTGTTTAAAACAAATCTGATTTAAACATATAACTACGCATGACTAATCATCTTGATTTTTTGTATAAATATTTTACTGAACAAGTATTAAAAATAAAACGGTTCGGATCACTGATATCAATCCCAATATAGGTTTACTAAGCTCAAATCCTTTCTTAAATTGAGATAACTTGTGACAAATCATACCCATATACTATTAACACATTTTTAATCATCACTTCCCCCTCTCTATCTCTCTCCCTATTAACACATACCAGAGAGAAATACCTCATTTCCCATTTCATCATCTCCAATTACAATTTTAAACTCGTTTTTTTCCCCTCTTAAATTATTTATCATGTCATTAGAAGTACACTTGGCGTGGATGAAAATGAACTCCTTGAGATTGAAAGAAAAGAATTCATTGTGTTTAGTTTTAATTTTTTTGAAAATAGAATTTTTTATTTTTCGTATTTTTTTGTTATTAGTGAATATTTAAAAAAAAATTCAGTAATTTTTTTTATTTTTTTAAATATACCTTATTTACTTAGATGTATCTAAAAAGTAAAATATTTGTAAAAAAATATTTTAAAAAATAATAAATATACAAGAATACGAAAAATGTACTGAATTTTCATATCATAAATATTATATTATTTAAGTATGTTTATATTAGATATATTTAAAAATTAAATAAATCACTTAAAATGTTAAAAAATTCAATAAAAACATAAAAAAAATAAAAAATTCTAATTTTTAACAATAATGCTACAGACCCCAGTACAAACGACTCCCACCGACCTCCAGTGCCACGTGTCGGCCTGAGATTGGCCGAAAACTTAAAAAAAAAAAAACTATTTTTTTTACCCAATCATGGGCGACCCCCAGAAAAAAAAAAAAAAAAAAAAAAACCTGTTTTTTTTGCCCAATCATGGGCGACCCCAGCACCCCCAGCTGGGGTCCAAGTCATTTTTCTAATCTTTATTGATTATTTTTGCCAAAATAGAAGTTTCCATATAGACCCCAGTACAGACGACCCCCACCGACCTCCAGTGCCACGTGTCGGCCTGAGATTGGCCGAAAACTTAAAAAAAAAAAAACTATTTTTTTTGCCCAATCATGGGCGACCCCCAGCACCCCCAGCCGGGGTCCAAATCATTTTTTAATTTAAAAAAAAGCAAATCCCGAGTTTCAAAATCAAATAAGTTGATTGGTGCCTGGTACGTGGTCCCCAATGAAAACTACTGGCAGCGAACGTGGCGCCGATTAGTGGGAGCCATGTGCCGCCCACTGCGGACAATCATTCGATTGTTTTGCTTTTGATAACAGTTTGAAGATCAAGTGCAGCGTAGACGGCGATTAACAGTGCGAAGCCATGTGGTGCCGGCCGTACAGCCTTATAATGTGAGTGTGCGGTGCGTCCTATTCTGCAACAAAACTTGGCCGCTGTTGTGGCTTTTTGAGTGTTTGGGGTTTAGAGGAGGCAAAAGCCAAGGCTTTTCCATGTGTGGGAACATCTATTATTATATACTACACTTCACACATCTCACACCAAACTGGAATAGCCTTGGATAGAGGGGCACCTTTTTGGTTTAACTCATCCAAAATTATTAATAATTATATATATTATAGCAAGTTGTACCATCATAATTCAACCATACAACATTTATATGCCCAACCACATTCCTTTATATAGGCTTATTTCATATAGTTAATTATTTGATAATCTTTAAAGAAAATTGAACCTTTAAGCTTTTTAATTTTTTAATTTCAACTATATATTTATAAATTAGTTTCAATTCTATGATCATCCAGGTTATCTTATTTAACAATGAAACATTAAAATACACATAGTAGTATCTTATTTTCTTTGTCAACTTCATATAAATTATAATTTTTATTTAGTGGTATTTTAAGAAGTTGATAAAAAGTTGATTTTTTAACTTTTTTGGTGACCATTTTTGCTAAAAAAATTGACTTTTTTAGTGGAAAAAAAAGTTAAAAATCTAAAAAACTGACTTTTTTTAACTTCTTCCAAAAGTGTCCCTTAACACCAAATCTAAATCTCATCCTACCAACAATTTACTATACCCAAATTACACATCATCAATCCTATCATACATCTTATCACATTTTATCCAACTCATCACTCTCCTCTCCTATCATCTACTCGTTTCTCTTCATTACCTATTCAAAATTCTACCCAAATGCTACCAACCACCTCCTCCTTTCCTCCATTTCCTTTTTCTTTACCTCTACTTCAACCACACCCTACCACATTGACCACCACCTCTGCTTCCAACTCCACAATGCCCAACACAATTGACAATATTCAACTCTTTAAAAAATTTCTCTGATTGTCGTTGAGAGATAAAATGATGGTAACAATAATAACTAAACTTATATTTAATTCAATCATCACTGTGGTCAGAGGTTTACAGCAAATTCAAATTCTAACCATCTCTATCATTTTGTTTGCTTATTTTTCTACTTTAAAAGTCTTAAGAAGATTGTCCAGAAATTTTCAAACCTTTCCCTTTATAAAATATATATATATATATATATAAGTATATTTAAAAATAAAAAATAAAGGAGCAATTGTTAAAAATAATGCATTTGAATTTGAATTTCAATAATTTATTGCATGCAAACTCAAAAAAGTTACAATTCCAAAATGGATAAATAATATGGGACAAAATGTTAATATACTGTATTACCTTCTTGATTAATAAACAAATTTTCAAATATTACAAACTAGTTTTACGCACAGGTGCAAGATGTGATAGTTGCATTGCTCCTTCATACTACTAATACTATTTTAGTAAATCTCATTTTAAATTCCAAAACTATTAAACACACAGCATTAAATTTTTATTATAAAAATAAAAATACATTCTAATCTAGGGCTCGGAGAATAATTTGTAATGCTAGCTTATAGCAAAATTCCAAGCTCATGACAGTTGCACCACCATAATTAAACTAAGATCCAGAAAATATGGAATAACAACCAAATAAAACATTATGAAATAAGCTCGCCCGCAAATCACAGCAGGTTCTAACCCCGTTAGAAGCTTTTCTAGAGAGCAACCTAGCTGGTCAAACGCCCAAATTGGCCCACATAGAATCAGGATAATGAGTAACCATTATAGCATCAAACTTGACCATAACAATTATTTGAAGCCACAACACACTTCCCATTTTAGAAGCATGATCATTTGTTCTGATCAAGAAGTTTCAAGTCAAATCCCGCTTTTCTAAACAAAATTAATCCAATCACCGAAAAACTACCTCATGTAGTCAAAATTCAGTTCCACTCCACACTAGGAGGGGATGATAAAATCCTACAGACCAAGCCAACTACAGAAAATTGGAAGATAAGCCCATTGTATGCATGACTGTCTCTCAACACTAGAACTAACACATACGCTCTTTGGCCATAGCCATTCAGCTTACTTGCTGTTGGTGGGTGCCATACATGGGATAAGCCCCATAAGCCGCAGCTGCAGCAGCATACACGCTTGGATCATGTGGCGGTGGCAGAGCATATCCATAGCCGTCATAAATTTGCCCTCCATAGTATGCCCCATTCCATGGGGAGCCAAAGTCAACTCTCAACTGCAAAATCACAGACGCACAAGTGAGAAAGATATAATAGCAAAAATAGATTACAAACTGTTATTTTTAACTAAAGAATGGTCTACATAGGGTGCATTTTAAAGAAAATTCATTGGACCATTAATTTTTAGGATCACCAAAATGGTTGCAAATTGCAATTCTAAAGAGGGTTAATTTCACTTTTCTACCCTAAGCTATTGCCATTAATTTCACTACAGAGTCCTTAAAGTTTGTAATTTCACCAAATGTGGTCCAATTACATATGGTTGTTCAGATAACCATTAAGGCCTAATTTGATGGGCCAAAAAGTTATTTCAAAATTTAAACAACTTAATCATATAATCAAACATTTTATTCGCTATTTTGAAATGAGGGGACACGAAGATGGGCCTTTAGTCATGGGTGTAAGCTGTCTAATATAGTATAAGTTAGAAGATAGGTGTTTGTTTGCATGCTTTAGGTTGTCTAAATTATAAACTTACCTTTTCTGTTTATTAGATTAGGTTTCCACCATTATTGATTTGGACAAATTATCTCCAATTAGACCATATGAATTGAAATAAAAAACTTTAGGGACTAAATAGATAAAATTGATAATTTAGGGATGAAGTAGAAAAACTTATAATAGTCTAGGGAATAAAAGTGAAATTAACCCTTCTAACAACAGCATGAAGCAAGCAGTGCTTTTTCTAGGGAAGACTCAATAAAGATGAAAGTTAGGGATGGTTCCAATTCTCATAATAATATGAACACTAATGCTGTGTTTGGTTAGGGGATTTGATGAGGGATTTGGAAAGGGAAATGGAAAAGGTAGGTGAAATGTGAAAAAACATGCTTAAATTTCACCTAGTTTCACACATCTTTTCCCTTTCCCTTTCCAAATCCCTCCACAAATTCCCCAACCAAACTCAACATATGGGATGTTTGATAACATAATTCAGCACTTGTTTGATAACCATAATTGATATCACTTAAAAATTTAAGTCTCTTAAACTATAAGCTAAAATTTAATAAAATTTTAAATCATATAAAAATTACTTAATTCTAATTGAATTTATAAATATTAAACATAAATATTGATAAACATTATTATAAACTCACTACCACTACCGCTACCATTACTATCACCGCCATTACCACCATAACCATCATGCCACCGCCACCACTACCGCCACCATCATGCCATCACTATCACCTCCACCATGCCACCGCTACCTCTACCGTTACCGTTACCGCTACCGCTACCACTACCACTACCACTACCACTACCACTACCACTACTGCTGCCACCATCAAGTCGTCGTCGTTGTCCTCGCCGCCGCCGCCGCCGCCGCTACTACTATCACTTTCATCACCATTGTCATTATTGTCATGAGCATCACCATCATTATACTACTACTATCATCACCACCACGCAACCGCCACTACCATTACCATCATCACAATATAAAAATTAAAATATATAATTTAAAAAAAATAAATTTCAAATTTTATCTCATACATATTAAACAATTTATTTTTAATTTAGCACTTAAATTTTTATCAAACAGTTTTTCAACTTAAAAAATTCAGCATTCAGCATTCAATTTTCAATACTTAATTTTCAATCTCCAATTTTCAGCTTTATCAAACACCACCTAAATAATGATGTCCAAAAAAAACCAAATCATACACCCTATGTCAACAGAAAGTATTAAATCCACAACCCACACAACTGAATTCACTATAGACTCTTCTAAATAGTCACTAGACTTGCTACAGATTTTGAAATTCATCTATTATCCATCTAGACAAATATTTGAACTCTAGTGACCATTTTGAAGGCATTATTAACTGCAGCAAGTTTTTCCAAAAACACTGCCGTTACACATTTACTGCAGCAAGGAAGAAATGGAAGGTGGAGAGAGAGAGAGAGAGAGAGAGAGAGTAATTGCCTGCTTATTTGCTGGATTTCGTCCCCAAGAAAGCCGCACTGTTTGATTGCCAATTGTTGAACCATTCAATTTCTGCAGTGCCTCTTCCGCATTATTTCTGCCAAGGTCAATGAGATGGATGACATAATAACCAAAGAGAAAGCAATGGAGTCAAAATTTTGATGTGCAGCAGATAAAATAAGGATATAGCAAAGAACAGTTTCCACCAGGAGTCATACCTGTTAGCAAATTGTACAAACCCACAGCCTTTACCAACTGGAATTTTTACAGAAACTATCTCACCATACTGAGAGAAAGGCTGCCTAAGATCTTCATCCGTGACGTTAGGGTCAAGCCCTCCAACAAATATCTATAAACCAATCACGAGTAACCCAAAAAAACAAAAAGAAAAAAATGTGACATTAATAATTAAACCACATAAAAGAACTGGAGACTAACAGTTGTGTTCGTAGAATCTCCATCAGACTGGGAGCCTTGGGCTGACGCGCCATTTGATATGTATCCGCCTATCAACACCAAAGAAAAATTAAAAAAATTAAAAATTTAAACTTGTTGAGTAACATTTTATAATAAGCAATGATTAAAAGGAATTAACTGTCTGAAAATAAAAGCCGTTTAGTTCAACCGTTGGTATAAGGCTCTTGATCAGTAGACAATAAATTGTATGTAAAATAAAAAAAATTAGTTAAAACGAAAGACGATTTAAGACCTACCACAACCAGTAAGGAATTAATAGAACAAACTACTCAATAAACTTATTGGACAAGAAGGGGAAAATAATAGTACAGAACTAACAGGAAGATAAAATGATACAGAACCTATTATGTAAGTATTCTTCTGTTTATATATATAAGTATCATGTAACCACTTTGAATTCACCACAGCAACAAGAGGAGATAAATCATATTACCACCAGTGAAGTATTTTGTATCCATATCAACTGGAGGTTAAGATCAATATAAAATGAACAAAAAGTAGATTTAGGATTTCTTGAAGAGGTCCAGATCCTCCTTCACAATATGATTGAACTTGGATTGGCAAGAATTTGCTCGCAGATAAGGAACTATGCTTCCAAAATCCTCCCTTTCCTCTCTATAAGGTGAGGAGGGGGGCAATGTAGGAATTTGTATGGCAAAGAGCAAGTGTTTTAACTAAAACTAATAAAAATTGTGGAATTGATAGGCCAGAAAATTTTCCAATTACTGTATACCTAAGTGGATATGTCATTTGGTGTGATATGAAGAATTCTTTTTCTTAATTAAATTGGAGCTTTGAAATAAATGTATGTCAGGGTTGAGGGAAATAAGTAACATGATCAGACATTTATAGTGCAGTGAAAAATAAGTGGTAAGACCAAGATAAAGGTTATCTAATGTTGGCACATGTGAGATGTGACAATGCTCACAATGCAAGAAAACAATATATTGACAGGGTAATAATGAAAAAAAAGGAAAGCCCACAGAAATACCATCTAAGTGGTTAAGTTAATATCTGTAAGAAAGTTGAAACCTACAAAAAGGGATTGAAGCAGAGATTCCACAATTCCTCCCTATAACAAATTACCCAAAGAAAAACCTACATTTCTAGTCACTAATACCATCGAAGACTTTTCCAACAAAAAGATCTAGAAATATGCCATTGGATTTAATCTCCTTAAAAATAAAAATAAGGGATGGAAGAAGAAAACACAAGTAAGATCTCAAAGACATGAGAAAGGATGCAGTAATGAGCCCATTGACAAAAGCCAATCAAATCAATAAGTCTTGTTTTCTGCTGTTAAAAATGGAATAATATTGAGACCAAATAAAATTGAAGTTAACTATTTACAGTTCCAAACAATGTCTTCACAAAACAAGAACAATTATGAGTTACCTTGAGAAGAATATTGCTGCTGATATCCAGATGATTTCCTGGGTGTTGCAGCACCAATGCGCATAGGCCTGCTTGAACAATATTCACCATTCATTTCAGTCATGGCCTGTGACCTTTCATTCTCATCTCCAAACCTTACAAAACCATAACCTTTTGAACGACCAGTATTGGCATCAATGACAACTTTAGCAGCTTTAACGGATGGATATTTACTAGCAAAAGTTTCATGTAATAGGCTATCAGTAACATCTGAAGCTAAATCTCCTACAAATATAGAAAGATCAGAACCATTATTTGAACGCTTATCACCCATGCTAAATGTAGCCCAGTTCAAACGGAAAGGTTGTTCGGTATTAGGCATTGCTTTTCCAGTATAATTCTGTAGGACTTTATCAGCTGCAGCATGGGAAAAGAATTCCACAAATCCATAACCCTCAGACAAACCTGTCTGCTTATTGCGAATAACCTTAATGGAGGCGACCTGCAAGTGGTGACATGTTAGTCAAAAAGGCAGAGTATATATTAAATAGAATGGAAGACGCATAATAATACTCTCACACAAAGTTGGATCTTCCACGGCACAAATCACATCATCAGTTCATTCCATTGAGAACAAGGGGGGTTGCATTCATGAAAACCTCATTTAATGCTACAAAGCAACCAAAACTGCCTTTAATTTATTATTTTTTTTGTTCCTTCACTTTTTTAATACATTAAACATGGCTAGTGAAGCATGGATACTTCCCCATGCACAATATCCATATCAATACAAGCATTACATGTAAAAATTATTATGAGCAAGAAACTTTAAATATTTAAATCTCTTATCAAGTTTTTATATAATGACTAATTATTACCTATTAGATATAATTTCTGTATCATTGACGTATTGATGCATTAATATAACACTGTTTATGTTATTAACAAAATTATCAAAACACAGGGAAAACCATTATGTGGATGGTATTGAAATTGAAACGACAACTAGTTTAAGGCATGTTATCATCACCAGACAACTAGAAGTCAAGACAATCAAAGCTCGACAGGAATATATTGCAAGGAAATAATTTGCAAGCAAACTCCTACTAGTAGAATTTCAATCGAACCACTGTCAACGAGTGTGTGAACAAAAGAAAAAAAAGGAAAAGAATGAAATACATTACAATTGCAAAGAACCCAAGGAGGGCCAGGAACATACGAAAGGTGAGGGAATAGTCAAGGTTAGAGGTTACAAAATGGTGGTTTAATGGAATGCTCTCACCATAATCACAAAGCAGAGTTTGGTGCCTCACACGATCAAATCCAACTGGCATCTAACACTATAGTGGCCTGCATTTATTTATCTTCATAAACCGAAAATGTATTAACACACAAAAGAAGATGCTATGACGAGATATTCTCACAGCTACTAGTTCATAAAATATGTCTAACATGTTATATAGACAGGCATCATAACCCTTGTAGAAGTGCCACTCTTAAAATTTTTCCCCTAAATAGAGTATTCTCTAAATAACCATACAAAATATTCATGATATCTAGCAAGCAATTATTTTTCATTTCATTAGGAAGAGAAAATTCATCCACAAGGATTGCAGAATATAAAATATCAAACTGAAAGCTATTTTCTATAGTCATAACAATTATACAGACATCCCAAAAAATAATCATAATAATAACACCTTCAACATGTGGGATAAGATCTGGGGTCATTTGACAGCAGAAAATTGTTTCTATGGCTTCCTCCAGACACTTCATTCCCATTCTCAAAAACCAAATTGAAGCCTATCTAGTTCAAAGTAATGGATTCCAAATTTTCTAAAGAGGGAAAAAAAATAGTTGGCATGCCCTCACAAAACATATTAATTAAATAAAGAAACATGCCCGCTGACGTGTCCTGCATGTATTTGTCGTGTCCTCGTTGTGTCAAACACCGCTATGACACTTGTTTTGAAGTGTCCGTGCTTCATAGTTGTGGTGTTTTCTTTTTCCCATTTTTATCAGTCAAGAAATGGTTGAACGTGTACAAAGAAGAAGTAGCATAACAATAAATCAAGAATGCTCCTATTAGTACCTACCTAATTTCTTTGAACCCCACAATTTTCACCTTTTTTTATTACAATTATACCCTAAAAATAAAATTACATTAAAACTTTTAATGGAATATCCACCCACCAAATGAAGACAATTAAAATGACATTCTACAATATTGTACCCCCACCTCCATCTCCATCTAAACGTATTCCTTTTCATTACCATCCTAACCCTAAATGTATTTATCTTCATCACCATCATAGGCCGGTTCAAATCAGTTAACGTTTCAAACAATCCTATTACAAACTCTAGTTTCTCCAATCAAATTTTCATTTACATCTGTGGTCGTTTTCATCATTTGTTGATACTTATAGAACAATGGAGAACGATGACAACAACTCTGATAAGGTTAACATTGTATTGGTAAGTTTATCTATTTTACATTAATGATTCTTGATCATTTTCAATAGTTGTTGTTTTATTTGAGCTTATTTGGCACTGGTTTGCCAACTATTAAGGTTTTGTTCGGTAACACAGCGCTGAACATAAACATTTGGTTTGGTATATAGATTTCAAACAAAACTTTTTTTTTTGGCTCTATTCAACCGAACATAATTTCCGATGAAACAAAAAGATTTTCGTCAGTCACTGATATCGATTGAGAGATTTTTGATGAGTCAAAGAGAAGATGATGAGGGTAGTCCAAAGGCAGTAGGCGAAGCAACAACTTCGTTGTTCTTACGATCGGTGGCGGGGGGGGTTGAAGACGTAGGTTGAGCGGTTAGCATTGTAAAGTTGGGCTTTGGTCGCCGAAAAAGTGAGAGACAAAGAGAGATACACCAGATCTGGAAGAATGAGGAGAGAGAGAGAGAGAGAGAGAGAGTGGGTGTGCACTTGGGTGTGATGATATTATGAATAGAGGTAAATTTGGTATTAAGTGGGGTGTTCAAAAAAATTTTATTAAAATTTAGGATTTAGGGTAGAAGTTCAAAGAAATAGAAGGTCCAAAGAATTAAGGTAGGTACTAATAGCAGCACTCTAAATTAATTACTTTTTTGCAGTTAGTAGTTGGTTTTTATAGGTTTGGATTAGAAATTGGAATATACCAAAAAGTTCTAGACTCATCTCTAAGATTTTGTCACTGTAATGTAATAAAATGACGAGCACAAAAGGTTATTTTCATCTAACGTCTAACTTGTTATTAAAGATGACACATGTCTGGGCTACGTGTCGACTAGTAATTTTCATGAAACTGTCTAGTAATAATACAGTCGTCAAAAGAGTCAATTCTCATGCATGAAATTCTACAGATGTCAAGCTTGTCATTATCTAATCATAAATGAATCTCGGCGATACTTATGTCTACTTTACAACGAAGCGTCAAATATAATACTTACCAAAAAAAGGGAATAGGGAAAAAAAGAATAAGTTATAAATGCTTAATTCTTTATTATCTAACAGTCAAACTTAGGTTTTATGTTTAAGATATGGCATTTAATTATGCATTGATTTACAATGTTCATGTAGAAGTTTACAAACAGTTACAGCATTTAGTTTTCTCATTTTTTTTATTGTAATTCTCATAAAAGGCTTCTAAAGGAGAAGGCAATGACCAAACTAGTGACAAGTCCAAGAAAAAAAATCTAAGCATCTCCATCAAACTAGTTAAATCTTTAGTCAAGTTTTGGCTAAAAAACTACTTTTCTATTTTAGAAAGCTACCTTGTTCTTCTTTTTTATTTATTTATTTATTTTTTCTTTCAAAATGAAATTTCTTTGAAATATATATTTTTTTAAATTCTTTTTATTTTAAAAAGTAAAGATAGCTAGTTTGATGGAAATTCTCGCTGGGCATCGAGAGGCAGAAAGTTAAAAACAGATCCCAAAAGGAAATATTTGAAAAAATTGACCGAAAATTAAGACATATCCCTAACTGAAAGTGATTCGTCAACAACTACCACTATGGGTTTAATTGATGGATGAATAAATCTCTCTCTAGTAAACGCAATAATTTCTGTTTTGCAGTAATTATCAATCTTTCATTATCAACCCATCATGATTTCTAGCGAAATAAATGTTTTTTATCAATAAAAGATTCCAACTTTAACCTTTTCCCAGTCCCAGCTCAGAAAAATTCAACAGATCAAAATAACATTTTGCGTATCAGACTAACATCAATCTCCTATACTATTAACTGTAAGCTCTCAAATATTCAGCCAATCAACAATAAAAATAGAATCCAATATATATATATATATATATACGAATCAAGAGATAACCTCGCCGGTGGAAGCGAAACAGCTGTGAAGGTAATCCTCGTCCATCCAATTATGAAGATCACCGACCCAGATCGTCTTATTCTCGCCGTTGGATCCTTGTTGATTTTGATTTTGATTTTGATGCTGTTGCTGAGGATGGTATTGATGGTGGTAGTGGTGGTGGTGATAAGGCATATAGTGCGGTGGATAATGCGGCGGCGGCATCATCTGGTGCTGCATTATCATAGCCGCCGCCGGATACTGCATCGCCGCCACCCACTGCTGCTGCTGCAGCGCCGCCGCCGGAGGCTGCTGGTTCTGTTGTTGCGGATCCGAACCGTTATTTGATTGCATCTTATTGATTCCAAAAATATTAAATTAGGGCAAAAAACAGAGAGAGAGGTGTGTGTGTGTGTATATATATAGAAGTGTATAGAGATATATGTGGAAGTGAATCTGAGAGTTTTTTTTTAGAGAGAGAAAGTGAAAGTGGTGGAGAGGGCAGAAGGGGAGAGAGAGGGGGCCGCAAACAGAGACGATTTATTCTGAGGATGACGACGGATTCACTGGGAAGCCCTAGTACGACGCGGTTGCGTTCTCAGCCGTTGGATTAAAATCGTGGTGTTTTACGTGCACCGTTGATTGTTTTTTTGTTTGTTTGTATGTGTGTGTGGAAGCTTTGATCTGGATATGTACGTATAATAGCTGTTTTGGTCTCAGTCCGCCCTCAGTTTGCCTCTTTTGGCTATCTGTAGATAGATATAGATATTTTCAGGTTCATGGTATCACTTATTTACTCTTTATTTTTATTTATTTATTTCTTTTTTATGGTTTGTTTGTTTGTTTGTTTGTGTTTCATAGAGGATCCTAGGCTGCCCTGCACAAACTCAAATGGTACCTGCATGCGGTAATTTTAAGGTTTCAGTTCAGTGACATATACTTGGACAGTTAAAATTGGTTATGTTCTGATTGAGTTACTTGGACAGTTAAAATTGATCATGCTCTAATTGAGTAACGGGTTGTTTGAAAAGTTAACTATTTTAATAAGTTATTTTAAGTTTTTATTATTTTAGTAAGTTAGAATAAGTGTATTTAAAAAGAGGGTTGGATTTTTTATAATTTGATGTGAAGTTTGTAAATAAAATAAAATAATTATGAATTTAATGTAATATTTTGTCTTATTGACTATTTTAGTCTATTTTATTTTTATTATTATTTTAGACCAAAAAGTCAAAAAAAACTTATTGGCAAACACCCTAATGTTATATTGATTATTTATTTTTATTATTTTATTTCATTATTTGTTGTGTTAATTTAATAATTAATATTATATTAAATATATATTTAAGCAATAATACTAGAGATTTATATTTTTAGACTCATAAATTCACTTACAATGGTAGGGTAAGAAAGTTGGGCCTTACATCATTAGATATATAACAAATAAAAAATTGACACTTATAATACCATATCATTGTAAGTATAATTGTATAATTTTTTTTTTTTTGTAAGTCTTAAACATTTTTCATATTTAAGTGATGAAACCCAACACATTAAAATTGTTTTGACAAGTAAATGATACATATAAAATGATATAAAAATAAAATAAAAGTATTGTTATTGAATTTAATTACATGCAAGGGTGGAGCCAAAGAAAGCCTAGGGGAGTCACGGGTCCCCCTGTGGGAGCCAAAGAAAGCCTAACTCCGAGCTCCTCTTTATTGATGTATTCTATCATACTTAGTATATTTCTATCAATAAAGATTTATTTTGTCGATAAAAAAAAATGCAAAATATATATATTTTTTCTTAACATATTTTTTGACTAAGGGTTTATTGTATTGTTCACAACAAGTAGTTATTTAATACTTGAGAGCACTATATGGTATTATTTATGTAGTAATCTAAACCAATAGTATAGCAAAAAATCTTATGGATTAGATATATAAATTCATTATTTTCAAATAATTGACAGGCCACTTATTGTGATTTGAGATTTTCAATGCTTTGAGTATCACGTATGTAACGTCATATGATACTCTAAAACTGTTTAATAATTTTCATTCGAAACACATCATTTATAAGCAATATCATATCTTTAATTTTTTTTACCAAAACAGATTCTATAATCATTTGTGCTATAAATGATGTGTTTTTATTTACTAAAATTAAGAATTTTGATTCATAACTTTTTGTGATAAAATTGCAAACTTATATCACCATCTCGTACCGAGCTATAGAATTTTGATTTGTTGCTATTAATAACGAATATTTAATTTTTTATGCTTAAATTTAGTTCATAAAATTATTCTTATTTTAATGCTTATCATGACTTTTAAAATAAAAAATTATAATTAATAAATGCCTTATTTAATTTAATTTGTTATATCCGCCACTGATCACATGCTATCTTATAATTTTAATAACTCTCTTAACACATGTTTCAAAATTATGATTTGTAGTGCCTGGTGCGATAAGTTTAATTACATTCCACCATAACAAGAAGCACACTAAGTTGTAACAAAGATGGTATTCATAATGTCCACCATTTGAGCATGTTGCAAATGATAATACTATCAAAGCAGAATTTATAGATAAAAATATACAAAATAGTGTGATTGATTTATAGCCGTTTATTGAAAATTAGAAAACCCACCATTACATGTCAAGATTGCATAAATTCTATTATCATATCATTTTGTATGATCTTTTTTTTTATAAAAATTCTAAATGTTTATCATATATATAGTATTTGCAAACAAGGAGACGGGATTGGATTAAATAATTATGAAATTAAATAATAATGTATTTAGTTTAAATTTTCTAACTTAACTAATTAATCACAAGAATAACCTTTTATTCATATAGGGGGATTATTTTGTCCAAAAAAAGACGTAAGACAATTTTTTTCAAGATAACACTTTTATTCAAAATTATAAAAATACCTTCCTCAAAATATGTTAATATGAAATTATAATCTGGAGGTACATTGAGGGGTGTTAGAATTGGAAAACTATAACAATTTTAAGAATTAATAGGTATATTGGTCCATCTAAAGAGTAAAGTGAAAAACTTCAACAACTGTTATTAATGCTAGAAAAATAGTATATGTACTTAGAAGAAAGACTTGGACAAAATTTTACTTAATTGCTAATTATTAGTACATTATGATGGATCATTTAGTTCAAGTTTAATTAATGAATTTAGGTTTTTTTTATTTTTTTTTAAAAATATGGTTTTGCATGCAACTATTCAATGAGTTAAATTACTGGCCCTAAATACCATATCATTGGCTTAAAAATAATAAAAAAACTTAAATATGGGTGTGATTGGGATGGAGACCAACCCCAACCTAACTAATACGGTACGTTTCACGGATTGCTAGTGGATCTACGGGTCCTTTGTTTGTATAATTTATAAAAATTAAAAAGTTAAAAAATTATTAAAAAATTAATAAGTTCATACTATTTGGAAGAAATTTGTGAGGGTAGTTTAGAGAGCAAAATTATTATTTTACCCTTTAAATTCAACTATCCAAAAGTCAAAAAGCTAATAAGGGTAAAATGGTCATTTTGATTCTACTACAATATTTTATTACACATCTTTTCGTAAAAAGTCAAAAAGTTATCTCAAATATTTTTTTTTCTTTACTTTTTTAGTCAAAAAGTACACTTATATAGCACATCTCAAACGACTTATATCTAATTTATTTATTTATAATTATTAATTTGTTATGTTGAGGACTTGAGGGCTTATAAAAAATAAAAAAATAAACTTCTTTGGGTAAATTACTTAGAAGTCCTATTTAAAAGATAATGATGGTCGTCGGTCACCGGTGACTATATATTAGAAAAAAGAAAGTGAAGAAGCAAGGCATGTTGCCGGTCACCGAAAAACATGAAGAGAAAGAGGTAAAGAAAAATAAATGCACAACGAAAAATGAAGAAGAAAAATACATAGTGGACTTTTAAGAGTATTCAAAAAGTTGTAGAACTAAATACATTGGAAAATGTTAGTGTAACAACCCTCACCACTGTTTACCGATAAACTATCGATTACTGCTAATGTTTTGAGGACTTGAGGGCCTATAAAAAATAAAAAAATAAACTTCTTTGGGTAAATTACTTAGAAGTCCTATTTAAAAGATAATGATGGTCGTCGGTCACCGGTGACTATATATTAGAAAAAAGAAAGTGAAGAAGCAAGGCATGTTGCCGGTCACCGAAAAACATGAAGAGAAAGAGGTAAAGAAAAATAAATGCACAACGAAAAATGAAGAAGAAAAATACATAGTGGACTTTTAAGAGTATTCAAAAAGTTGTAGAACTAAATACATTGGAAAATGTTAGTGTAACAAACCTCACCACTGTTTACTGATAAACGACCGATTACTGCTAAACTGAGACTGATTATGACTGGTAATTGACCTGATTGAAATACTGAACTGACTACCTGAAATCTGAAACTGAATCGATTGACTGTATCTGTTTAATTGCATGTTTATCTGTTTGACTGTTTAATTATCTGTTCAGTTTTTATGTTTAAACTGTTAATTGAACGCCTTATCGGCGGCCGAATCCGAAATCGATTGATGTTCTATGATCGTTAGAATTAATGTGAAATTATAGCATATTTATCTGAAAACTGAATTGGTATGATTAAATTAGATTAAAATAGGTAAATTGCATTGTTGACTTAATTACTATTTTGCCATTGTGAGTGGCCACTATCTAAGACCACCTTTGAGCCTCATTATACCTAGATCAAACATTTGCTCAGCCCATTTCCCTTGTTCTTGCCGACCAAAAGAGTTAGAGTGAGAGGAAGCGAGTTCCTCCTTGATAATTGCTTGTAGACTTGGAGATTTTAGAAGATAATTGTGAATTTGAGCTCCTACACCTTATAATTCAGACTTAGGTAAGGATTTCACCTTTTCATTGATGTATTTACTTAGTGATCTAAGCCTAGATTGAGCCTTATAATGTTGAATTGTAGCATGTATCATGCATTAATGTTTCCATTATTGGGTTTTGAAGCTATTGTTCATGGAATTCACATGCATGTTCATGTTTTTGCAAATGGACCATGAATTCACCATGATTTTAGAAGGATTGGCTCAATTGAGCTAGCATTTGAAGCTTTGAAGTTGTTGAATTCATGCATGTTACACATTCATCATGTTCTTGAAATGTTGTTTGAAATTGGGTTTATTTGAACTACCTTTGGGCTTTGATTTTTACAATTGAGCTTTGAATCATGTTAAACTATGAGTTTTGAAGTGTTTTCCAGGAAATGGGCCCAAAGGAATTGAATTTAATGCTTTGAAAGTTGGATTTGAGCTTGAGGTTCAAATTTGGGAATTCCAGATTTTGAACTCACGCTCAAGCGGGGTGACTGGCGCTCGAGCGTAGAAATCGTGCTCCCAACATTTTGTTCCGTTTTTAAGTTAGCTCGAACGGGGTAATTTACGCTCGAGTGGGACCTTGTGTCTTACGCCCGAGCGGGTGTCAAGCGCCCAATCGAGCGTGGATTTCACCTATCCAGCACTTTTGACTGTT